CCTCCAGTGGACCGCTCCATCTTCATAGGTCCTTCACATGGACAGATTTGGCCTCCAGCGGACTGCTCCATCTTCATAGGTCCTTCACATGGACAGATTTGGCCTCCAGTGGACCGCTCCATCTTCATAGGTCCTTCACATGGACGGATTTGCCCTCTAGTGGACCGCTCCATCTTCATGGGTCCTTCACATGGACAGATTTGCCCTCTAGTGGACCGCTCCATCTTCATGGGTCCCTGAGATGGACGGATTTGGCCTCCAGTGGACCGCTCCAACTTCATGGGTCCCTCAAATGGACAGATCAAGCCTCAGGTGGTCCGTTCCGAGTTGTATAAGTTGATAAAAGTAATAATGTAAAAGAATAGAAAGCAGAGGTCAGTAATTAGATCAAGTTAAGTGATCGAATTACTGGAGATAGTCATTGACTCCCGTACCGAGGTTGAGCAAAGATAGGATAAGGAAAAGGATTGGGGCTTAAGGATGGGCTGAAGCCCAACCCATTAAGAACAAGCTACCCAAAAGGAAGGAATCCTATGAAAGAAGGCCCCCCCTCAATTGGAGGGACAGGGACGAAAAAAAAGGTGGACGGAGATTGTCTATAATTCAATAAGAGCGGAGCGCCCAACCACCGTCAGATAGATATCAGGTGAGGGTTTAGAGGCTCCCAAAGAATATTGAAAAAAGAGCCTCGAGAAAAGCCCTTTTCCCAGAGGCCACGAATCCTCGAGAAAAGTCCTCTTCCAAGGGGTACCGAGCTCCGAGAAAAGTCCTCTTCCCCGAGGCACCGAATCCTCTTCCGAAGAGGCACCAAGTCCCGAGAAAGTCCTCTTCCAAAGAGGCACAAAGTCCCGAGAAAGTCCTCTTCCAAAGAGGCACAAAGTTCCGAGAAGGTCCTCTTCTAAAGAGGCACAAAGTCCCGAGAAAGTCCTCTTCCAAAGAGGCACAAAGTCCCGAGAGAGTCCTCTTCCAAAGAGGCACAAAGTCCCGAGGAAGTCCTCTTCCAAAGAGGCACAAAGTCCCGAGAAAGTCCTCTTTCAAAGAGGCTCAAAGCCTGAGAAAGTCCTCTTGCACAAAGTCCCGAGAAGGTCCTCTTCTAAAGAGGCACAAATCCCTGAGAAAAGTCCTCTTCCAAGAGGCACCAAATCCCCGAGAAAAGTCCTCTTTCGAGAGACACTAAGTTAAATCCTTACCCACGAGGTAATGAGACCCTCCAAAAAAAGAAGGTCCTCTTGTCGAGGTTCCAAGAAAAGTTTTATCCCATGAGGCAACCCACTGAGTCATATAGTTTTGAATCTATCTCGTTCCCCGAGACAGACTCAAAACTAGGGGGGCATGTGATGGATTAGGGATTTTTCCTAATCCAATATTATTTGAACAGTACAAGAAAGCCCAATTTTATCTGGCCCAAGATATAAATTAGATAAATTATTCAAGACAGAACCAGAGATATATGGACAGAAGAATATATTTGAAGTGATGTGGAGACATTTGGCGGGACCCGTGGAACACTATCACATGGAAACCACATGCCGCACATGGGCTTCACTTGGACAATGTCCCCTCTTGTCTCCATCAATTATTTCTTTCACCCCTTTAAATGCAGGCTACGAAGGAGGGAGGGGAGAGGCCAATTTCCTGCTACTTCTACTATTATTCTTCATTCTTCTCCTTCTCTTAGCTTGGAGCTCCATTAATGGCTCCAAGCTCCTACAGTGATGTATATGTAAATTCCCCCGAGATTAATAAAAGTTCCTCCCCCTTTGGCATGGCACCGCCTAAAAAGGCCCGTGGTTTTCTCCCAATTTGGGTTTCCACGTATAAATACTTTCTCTCCGTTTATTTATTTACTTAATTTCCGGATTTCGCTATTCGGTGCGGTGCCGACTCGGTACCGATTTCAACGGGTCGACGCCCCGAAAAAGTGGTTTCCATCATATATATATATATATATATATATTATTTATTTATTTTTTATTAAAAGAGATCATAAAAGAAATACAAAAGTAACGCACGTTCGAGGAGGACTAGACCTTGCCCCGAAAGTAGAAATTAAAGACATGAAAAATAAAAGGCATATTTCAGGAATGAAATGTGGGACAGTCATCTTTAATTGCAGGCCCAATGGCAGCAAATCCTAGGGCCCAGGTTTCTCTTTCTCCATTCCTGCGCATTTGCGAATGAAGGTACCTTCCAAGGCGAAAGATTGGAATCCTTGATCAGTGAGGTTCTTATCTTGAATCATCCAGCCCTTTTTTCTGAATTTCCAACACCAGTTAGATAGGTCCAGCTTGATGTTCCTCTTGATAATAGGTAAGTTTATATCCTCATTTNTGTTTCCAAATTGACCAAGCTATAATTCCAGGAAGAATTATTCTCATGTTGCCTTTAAGCGTGCCATGGTGTGATTTGAGATTCCACTCCAAAATGTGTTGCTTTAGGGTGATACCTGTTTTGATTTTAGGGCCATCAAAAATTAGTCTCATATCTTCCCATATCTTCTGTATTTGGGGGCATTGAAGAAGGCAGTGATTCATATCACCATCATTCTGAAGGCATGTAGGGCATTGGGAGGGAAAGCTATAGTGGAATTTGCAAGTATTTTCAGGAAAAGGGAGGATGTTGTTGTTGACTTTCCAAAGAAAGAGCTGAATTTTAGGTAGCTACAATTTGTTCCAGTTGAATTTATCACTGATTTGCAGAGTTGAGTGGTTTCTGCAGTGATTATAGGCTTCCTTAATGGAGATGGGGACGACCTCTATTTCATCTTCATCTTCTTGGTAAGGTGTGATGTCTCCCATGAACTCTTCAGCTGAGTCGTTAATTCTGCAAATCCTTTTTCTGATGAGGGAATCAGTTAGTTTCTCAGAGAAGTTCTGAGTACTGTATTTTGCTCTCATGAATTGGGCCCAATTGTTGTTGTTGAATCTGAAGTTCCACCAAAGTTTGATAGAGTAGGCAAACTGCAGCTCCTCTAAGTCTCTGATTCCCAGTCCTCCTTCTTCCTTGGGTAGGAAAATGTTCTCCCATTTTGTCCAGTGGTATCTCTTATTGTTATTGGTGTGTCCCCAAAAGAAAGTTGCCATCATCTGTTGAAGCTTGTTTATAACTGATTTGGGTAAAGAGTGGACTGCCATGTAGTGGAGAGGAATGGTAGACAAGACATGTTTAATAAGAATTAATCTCCCCATCTGACTGAGGGTCTTGCTGTACCATTTCTCAATGTAGTTGCTAAAGTGAGTGATTAGATCTCCACAGTCCCCTTTCTTAAGCATCCCTTTACATATTGGGGTCCCCAAGTACTTGAAAGGTAGTGTGTCTTTTTTCATGCATAGAATTCTTTCCATCTGTAGGGTTGTATATGTGTTAACTCCTTTACCACAATAGAATTTGCTCTTATTATAATTAATCTCTTGGCCTGATGCTTCTTGGTATTTCTTGAGGATCTCCTTAACTTTGATCAGGTTGTTGCTTTGACTATTACAAAAAATGATAACATCATCTGCATAGGCCAAATGGCTGATCAGTTTCCCTCTTCCAGTGTTGAAATTTGTAATATAACCTGTGGACATATAGAATTTCAGAGCC